AAGGCCTGCCTCTCTTGCCTTCGCCCACTCCGTTAAGCTACTGCGCTTTTTATTGTTGTTATTATAATTTATTTATTTGCTTGTTGTCTGGGCTTTATTTAAGCCTATCCGTGGGGGAGGAGGGCACGACGCACCCAGAGGCTTTCCGCTCCGGCACCCACACTGGCATCGGCGAGCCCTCCGAAAGCCCACGGGAAGCAGCGAGCCCCGCTTTCCCACCCACCTCTCCTCTGGTGCCGCCAGTGGAGGGCCGTCGGCCCTCCACCGTCCCCGCTCGGGGGCTGCAGCGAAAGGGTTAAAGCGGCTGCGAGGGCCGGGACCCTCCAGGCTGGGCTCGCCTGGGCTCCTCGAGCTGCAGGGGTCCCCATCTGGGCTACCGCCGCCCTCCTGCGGGGGTGAGGGTGAGCCCGCACAGAGGCCAGCCCGGGAGTGTGAAGCGGTGCTTGCTGAAAGATGCACACACACACACACACACACACACACACAAATGCTGTTGGTTTAAATGTATGGTAGCTTTCTCTCCAGTGTTATTTGAATAATTCAGTGAGCCCCACTACCAGCTGTACTTCTGAAGCCTCTTCCATTCTTTTCAGCATTATAATTTTGGTTAATTTTCAATTTTAGGCCCTACGTCTCTGCAATTTGTGTATGAATAACAGAATAATTTTCCTCTTTTGTTTCGCCTTTCCTGTTCCTGAATCTAAATAAAGATGGCTTTTTAGTATTAAAAGTGGAAGAAAATTACAGGTAATTATCTTTGACGGTAAAAACGCTGTAATCAGCGGGCTACATGAAAAATTACTCTAATTATGGCTGCATTTAAGAGAATGGAAAAAAACCTTCTTGTGGATAAAAACCTTAAATTGTCCCCAATGTCTGCTTCAAATTGGATGGCACTGCAGCTGGAGGCTTTGTTCAGAATTGATCCTGGGGAGCTCTGAACCCAAAGTTTCACAGTGGGAAGGGGAAAAAAAGAAAAGAAAACATTTTTCCTAATATAACAATACGAATGGTAGAAAATGACAAGACTGATCGGTTTTAAACCACTCTGAAGACTGACTGAGCGTGGAAGTTGCTCAAAAAAAAAACAAAAAAACACCCCCCAAAAAACTGGTATATTGGTAAGTAGTCTTTGCTTTGTGTCTAATTATAGTGACTGTCCTTTTGCACGACTGTATGTAGCTGTCATTATATGGAGCACTCTGAGGATCTCTATTGACTTCTGATAAATGGCTCAGTAGTTTCAAGGTTCATAATTTGAAGGATGCCCAGGTCTCTAGCCATTAATTCTCGCAGTATGGGGCACCCAGCTTGGATGAGGAAAGGGCTTTTCATTTGTAGGAGTTGCTTTCCACAAGCTGGTGAAGCTGGAGCTGGCTGGGCAGCGTGGTGTGTGCCTGGGCACCTCTCAGGGCTCTGCGAAGCATTCCTCAGCTTGCATTGTCTGCTCTCGAAAAACAAAGGAGGGCGCCTCCTTTCTTAATAATTTGGCGTCTCCAGCCTTCGGGAAGAAAGGCAGGGCTCCGAGCTTCGCCTCGGCGAGAAAGCTCGGCTCAGCCGAGCAGCGAAACCGCAGCAGAAATGGCCAGCGATTGGAAACTTCTAGGCTTATCTTTGCGGTCTCGGTATCTCCTGTCTTAGTCGCAGCCTTAAATACTAAACAAACCACCAGCTTCCCCCTCCTCAACCCTGTTCCCCGTGATGTCTGTCCGTCTTTGCTCGCAGATGGGTGCTGAGGCGGCGGTGCCTGCGCGCCAGCGGGGGGACCGCGTCCCACTGCCGGGGCTCAACCGGGGGGGCCGGGCGGTGAGGTGGGGACCCCCCACGGGGGAGAGAAAGAGGAGCCAGGCGGGCGTTTTGTGGCTTTTACTCTATATATGAAAGAAGACAAAACCATACAAAGTATATGTACAACTAAAATTCAACAATATATACAGAAAGGTTGCTCGGGGGAAGGGTCCCTCTCGCCCGGGGTGGGGACACTGCCCGCAGGCAGTGCTGAACCTTCCTGCCCCGACCGCGGCGGCGGGTGTTGCCGCGGATCCCTCGCTCTGTCTATCTTTCCTGCTCGTCTCCGGGAGTCTGTCCGGCTGTGTGCGGATGTGTGCGGGTGCGGGGGCTCTTGGCGGGAGAGACGGTGGTTTCTTCTGAGCCGTGGCCCATTGCATTTTGAGAAAGCATGCAGGTTTTGCTTCGTGGTAATGTTCAAATCGTACAGTATATTTTCATTTTCAAACAGTTCTCCTTTTTTTCCTCCTCCTTTTCTTCTTATTATTTTTTTAAATCCCTTCTTCGCTCTTTGAATTGTTTTCCCCAGTCCGGATTTGGTGAATAAAAATGAAGTAGCTTTGAGTAGTCTCTCTTTCATCATGTAATGTCTTTAGCTCATTAAACAAGTAAAAACGGCTGCCATGGTAGATACAGGTTCTTCTTGTGGGCAAAGTCTGTAAAAAGTTTGTTTTGACGTATACTCCACAGAGAAAGAGGCTGGTGCCTTGGAGTCCAAAGGAAAATATCCTTAAGAGAAGTGTCTTCTGTGCGCCAGAATGAAAATTGTGTCTTTCTGTTCAAGATCAATCGCTGAGGTTACTTAAGAAAAAATAAAATAAAATAAAGCCACTCTGTCTCTTTGCCGCATCTACAAGTTCACACAGAGCCTGTTAACTGGCACGGCTTGGCAAAGCAGGGGAACTTCTTGCCATGTCGAGACGAGGCGTTCTTGGGAGATTAGTTCTCTTGGACAATTCACATCATTTGTGGTCTCTGCATTGTGTCTTGATGTGGAGAAGAATACCAGTGAGAATAACCAGGCATGTAGCTGTTGGGAGGCATATTGACTCCCTTGGCAGAAGCTGAAACGTCCCAGACTGGAGGCAGGGCCGGGGAGCGAGGGGAGAGGGTGGCGGAGCCGGGCAGGGGGTCGCTCTCGTGGGGGTTGCTGCCCTGCTTCAGCAGCTTCTTGAATTTGGAGCGCTTGTTCTGAAACCATATCTTCACCTGTGAACCGAAACGCAGCAGATATTAGGCTGCCGTAAGCACCCGAGGCATGGCGAGGGAGAAACCTCGGGGGTCGTGGGTTTGCTCTGGAGAGAGCCCATGCTGGCTAGGTCCGGAGCTGGGGATGGGGAGAGGGGAAGGAGGGGTAGCTGCTGCTGCTTTCGGGCGCTGGATGCAGCTAGAGAGAACAGGAGAGACAGAGCGGAGCTGGAAAGCGAGAGGGATGCAGGTTTTAACCCTTTTTTCCTTGGGCAGGCCAGATTGGGTGAGCTGCAGCAAAGTACGGGCTCTGAACTCTCCTGCTTTAACGCCTCGTTCAGAATTTTGGAGGTCATTTGATCATTCGGGCAAACTGTTGTCAAACACGGGCAATCATATGATTTTGTGCCAGGAGACAGGAGCCAATAGACAAAGGGCATCTTACAAAGACATCCCGCATCCCAAAACAGGCACGATCAAGCGGTCCTTGCTGATGTGGCGGGGAAGGAGGCACGGTGGAACCAGGATGGTGGCTTTGCTTTAGAAGTTGTTTTTAAAGAAAGGAAAATTCCCTTCTGTCGGCGATAATTTGCTATCAAGATTGCTTTGGGTCTCATCCTGCTCCTAATCCAGCAGAACCCCCAAGGAGCGAGCCTTACATACTAGATGAGGTGTGCAACGATCGGGCCCGCTCTGGCAGATCAGAACTATTATAGAAATTATATATATGTAAGACATATATACACACATATGTCTTAAAATCAAACAAACAAAGAAAACAACTCCCACATGGGTGTTTGACGTGGCAAACTGTGCAGATGTGATGCTAGGGTATAAGCAGGGGTGCTTGTCTAGCTGCATGCTCAGGATCGGACCCCTAAATCCATGAGTGCGAGAGAGAAAGCGAGACAACAGACAGACAGGGCGTGCATGCTAAGGGTACTAAAATCCCATTTGTAAAACCATTAGGTCTATTCCCATTATTAATGTTTGCTGAGTATTTAAAAATCGCTGGCTGGAAGCGGCTGTTATCAGTGACAGTGATAAAATCCCGAAGTTATTTGTTAAGCTCATAAATTCACATGATTACATTTTACCAGGATTGATCCCATCTATCCATGCACTTCTCCGCAAACCCCAGTCTGGGAAGCCTGTAATGTCTCATGTGTCTTTCAAGCTTAAATTAGCAGAATGGCACAGCTACTCCAACCACACTTAACTATGGCTTAACCTTCTATAATTTTGTACATGGCTGCCTTTGATCTTCAGATCTATTATCACCTTTGGTACATTTTGCCCAGGGGTAACCACTGCATTTGCGTTAGTCATCCAGGGTGCATTAACTATTGATTTTACAGGTATTTCCTAACGTGTTCCTGCTTCCCCTCTACCTCTAGGTTGCTGCGAGGCAGCTCTGCTTTCAGCTCTACCTCAGGCCCAGCAGTTCCTTGCCTTTGTTTTGTACTCCTTTTTTTCACAGCTGGGCAATTGCATCTCAGTTTTGCTGGGATTATCCGAAAATACAGGCTATTTTGCAGTGTTATGTGTGGCGTGTGGTCACCAGGCGGCTGAGGGAAGGGGGTAATCGGCTCCTTCTGCGGCAGAGCGGGATCTCTGCCGTGCATAAGTCCCATTACGACCGGTCTCTGTCGGGGGGACCGTGTGCATTACCTTTTCTACTGCTCCCGTAACAGAGGCCAAAACGTCTGGGGAGCATCGTGCTTTGCTTGGCCTTTAGCGCTCGCGCAGGGCTGCAGTGATTTGGGATTCCCAGTAATTACCTGTGTCTGGGTAAGTCCTAATGAAGCTGCCAGTTCAGCTCTCTCTGGAAGTGCCAGGTACTGAGTCTGCTGAAAGCGGTGGTTTAAAGCCTGGAGTTGTAGACTGGAGTAAATAGTTCGAGGCTTCCGAATCTTTTTCCCCTTTCCATTGAATCTGATTTCGCCGTTTTCAATCACTGTGGTTTTTTGCTGATCTGCAAGCAAAACAAGGCAGCTGTAACATCACCCTCCTTCGCTATTTACCGCGGGCATTTGGGCTCCCCAAAAACGCAGTAGCCGGCCCCCGACGCCGGTTTCAACCCCATCGCGTACACACGGGTTCCGGCTTCTTAAAGCCATGCCGCCAAACCGGCTGCTGCTTGGGAGCTACCGGGAGGAAAAACAACTGTCCAGGCATAGCGAGCACGCTGCCTTTCCCCGGGGGGGGTGTGAAAAAATAATTACAACCAAAAACCCATAGAGTGAAGGGATGCTTGGTTACAGGGCCATCCAGGTTTTACCCAACTAATTGACTTCTCGTCGCCAGTTTGGTGGTCACTGAATCACCAGTCCGAGACTTTTAACAATGCTTCCTCCTCCCCCC